CGGTCAGCCAGCTGGACTCACCTATTGTTGCAGTCAATACGGAACAATCGATAGCCGCAATCGCGCGCGAGATACCAGCTATCTAGCACGAGCTTTCTAGCAATACCCCGGTTCCGGAAGTCCGGCCTGACCGCGAGATAGCTGCACTCGAAGATCTTGAGAACGCAATAGCGCTCCCAGAGATTCGGTTTGCCGGTCACGTAAGCGTCGAACTCGATCACGTCGCGGGCCGGCCCGCATTCACAGCACCTAGCGAACTCGACGAACTTGTCGGGATCCCAAGGACAAGAGCCGGCGTTCACCACAGCACCTACAATACATTCGTCTTCTTCTTCTTCAACAATTAACGTCATACCCTCACGGATTTCATTGTACATTATTTGTAGTAACGATGAAGCGGGCTCCTGTTTGTTCAAACCAATGTTCACCATGGTTGGATCATCCTTGTAAAATGCGTCACACATGAAAGTCATTACGTTGTCGAAGTCCTCCGGAAGAGCCAATCGTGGCTTGTAAATTGATTGATCCTATTACACGTATTATTTTTTTTATACAACTCATATACATATATATATTTTTTTTTTCTGATAATAAATGCGAATATAAGTATCGAAAATTTGAGTTTATAGTGAGATTTTTTTCTACGAGTATATAACACTTGGGATTTAACTTATTTTACAGATTAGGAAAATATTTGTTAAAATCTATATTATATGTATGTATTTTCATTTCTGTAATATTTTTATAAAACGTAAAAATCTAACACAAGGAACTTACGGAATAATTTTTCATTATGGTGCGCAAATGATAGTCTCGATTTCTAAATATACCAAGGTGCGATTTGTATTTTACACATCTTGCAACTGGGCAAATGAGTCTTGACAAAATCGATACCATATTTCTGTTACGGTGACCTCTTTGAAAATATATATATATATCTATCTCGGTTTTGCAATTCTTTATTAAAATATGCACACACCAGAGAGCGTTCCTATATGCATTCCACAATAGATCTGCTGCATTGACGTCGATTGACATTTTACATGTAGTTTTCCATTTTTATTATTTTTAGGTTCGTTTATTTATATATACGAGATGTCATACGCGAGATATTATAGCGGCATAAAAACTATAAAGTCCCTTACCTAGCTCTTTTTAGCATATTAATAATAAATTATAACTCGTGAGACTACACACATGTGCTTGATGGAAAAATTAAATATATTATTCACGTTTCTCCTGTACTTCTCTACGATGTAGTACCCCCTTCTTTTCTGCCATTTTCGTACGATAACCGCGCACTTCGTGTTATTTACAAATCGCGAAACAAATGCCTCCAAAATGTAGTATTTTTGGTAGACTTTCTTGCTGTTTCACTGCTAGGGTTTTTTTTTCTTCTTCTTCTAATGAAGATAAACGGTGACAATAAACTATCGCGGGAAGACGATCAGATCCCCGAAATCAGGCGTTCTCAGAGAATCGCACGAGAGCATCGGACGTGCGACGGTCAAATAAAAAGGAAGGAGAGCAAGATACGAGGCGAACGTCCGCTTTCGAAGGATTGGAGATTATCAGAAGATAAATTGCATTTCTTCTCGGGATAAAACGTCGCTGTCGAGGCAAACTGTCAGATCTACTTCTTTGACGTAAATTATCCGAGATCTGACGGTTCGTTACGTACGTGTTGAGGTTTCGCGAAAACGTTGATTGAACGAAATAAAACAATTCCGATAACGTTTCGTCGTTACTTTTCCTCAATTCCATGTTGAATTCTATGCAAATTCAGGTAAAGGAGAGCGCGCTTCACTTCTATTAAGGAGCATTCCGGACGGTAAAACTTAACGCCGACGTTCCGCAGTTTCTAGAAGACCAGGTCGGACGATAACTCAAACACGGCTCTATTCATTCATGGCCGTTGTACGAAGTGATATGGGTGGCAGCTTGCAGAGCGGCATCTGATTTATGTATTCGCGCCGCGTTCCACCGCTTCCGATATACATGCACCTTTATATACACCGTGTACATAGACACCGGCAGATACATATAATACAAGCATCGCGTGCGTGCACGTGTAAACGCATCGACGGCGTGTTTACGTGAGGGTGGTAGCTACGTGCGAATCTACACATGCACGTATATAAGGTGGTACTCGCAGAGTACGTATACGCGAGAACGGTAGGTGCCGCGGCTTATTGTTGATGAATGCGGGGAACCCGAGCTCACTGAGCCACGAAGGGGATGCGAGCTTTATACATACGTATAGTGTAGTCAGACTACAGTGAAGTTGGTAGGAGGCGGATAGGTATACGTTACCCAAGTGAAACGCTCTTGCGGGCTCCGGTGGCGAGTCCGCAATGGGAACGCAAGGAGACTCGTATATGCATCAATTATGTGCCTTGATTCTCATTTCGCGGCAGGACTACTCGCGAAAGATTGCAATTTATCGGTACAACAATGCGGGCATTGTTTAATATCCATTAACCGCTCGCCGGCCGAGCCGGCGGCTACCGCTGGCTCGTATATTCGATCATTTGCCAGTTGCATGAACAAAACTAGGCTCACTGCGTTCTGATGAAGATTGGAGAAGGTGGGACATTAAATTTATTACCGAGACTTCGATTATATGACCAATTTTCATGCAAAAGTAGAAAATTGATAAAATAACAAGAATATTGTCAACCTGACAGATACACGGAAAGAATAATTTTGCTGAAAAATCTAAAATTTTATTGGATACAGATCTGAAATTTTGTTGGTTCAAATTTATGTTAGAAACTGAAAAAATGACGATCATCCTCTACAAAATTTTAAATCTTCCAGCAAATTCTTTCTATGGATTCTCTTCTAGGAAAAGAAATTACAATATTACAATAATATTACAATAAATAGTACGTTTACCTTGAATGGATTTATTAGCCAAATATTAATCGACTAAATGTAAAAACAATATAAAAAAATCAATCAATGTAAATATTGTATAAAACGTGAGAATTAAGAGAGAAAAGATTCGCGCTTAATAATTTCATATTTCACTAAATGTGCAACGCGTGTACCAAATGAGGTGGAATACGATAAATGTTTCAATACAAACGTACATTGTACATTTGTTCGAACCTTTTTATATTTATCTTTGAATTAGCTGCTATAATATTATACTATTGCGGCTCACGCAAGCGTCATACATGTTAACATAGACCGTCGTTGCTGAAAGCGAACTTTCAACCCCTCGTTAAGCCTGTGTCTGCTCTATGAATCCGCCCAAGTTCCCGAAGAATCCGTCTTAGGGTGATCTCAGGCTTCTCGGTTGTCTCGTCTTCTTTTCGTTTCTCTGCTCGTTGGCTTCCACCTCAACGAATCTGGAATCGTTATTTCTCCCTTTCGCGTATTTGCCTTCAGCAGCAGCGTGTTTTTCGCCGTATCGACCATGGTTCTTGAAATGTCCACCCCGATGACCGTTGCTGTAGAAATCAGCGTCCTTCTTGAACTCATCTTTGTGATAAACGTTGCGATATCCGGCGGTGTTACGAGCTCTCTCGTGACCATCTCTTGTCTCGTAGATAGCTCCCTTCTTTTTCGCAACTTCTTCTTTATGATTCTTCGCGCGATCCTCGTTTTCGGAATGGCTTTTACTCTCACCAGAGACTTCGGAGTGCTCAACCTTTTCGTTCTGCTTTTTCGCGTCGCCTTTCGAACCTACCCCGAAGACGGCGAGGCTGTCGGTGCCGTGATCATCTCTCGCAACTTGCGTCTCGTACTTTGACGCAGCGTAATGCGCATCGTTATCTTGATTAAATCTGTTGGATTTACCAGAGTTCCCGTCGTCCGTCATCGAGGCCGCACTTATGCGACTTGGGCTGGTTTGCGGTTTCGCAAACGCAAGTTCCATATGGGTGACTCCAGGTGGCTTCACGCCCTTATAACCGACCGGCAACATTTCCGCTTCGGGTTCTATAATCAAGGGTAACAAGACCGGACTGATATTTGCCTTCGTAACGATCGCTCTCATTGTCGACGGTCTCCTCTCCTCGAACTCTTCGCTATCTTCGTCGAGAATCTCGAACAATTCAGTCGCAGATAGCTGCTTCTCGAAACCGTAGCTGTCAGCTGTTGATTTTGGATTGAACGATCTCGAGCTGCTAACGTACATCTCGTTAGATCGGCCTCTCGGCGGATGCGCGCAAACACAGAGCACAGTGCAAGCGGCGTACCATGCTGCATAGATCTTCATTTGTTTCGTGGATATCCCCGTTACTTAGAAGCCCAAGGGTAGTCTAATCTAATTCACGAATTTACTCGAAATGATATTTATGTATCTTCGTAGAGATAGATGTAGACTAGGTACGAGACTGTGACTTCTGATGTAGTAACGCGCCGGCATGCACTGTAACAGTCGCGCGATAATACCAGCTCTTTTATATCGCTCGACAGTCGTTCAGCCGAACCGAAGACCGATCATCGATTTCACATGGCCTTAGTGTATCTATCGTAGCGTACAGTCAATTCAAGATCAACGGCGGTTTACAGTACTAGTCGATCAGTGATGCAAATCGAACTCATGGGATTGCAGCTTCAGAGAGCAAGAATGTTGTGAAATATAGACATTCTTGCTATTTGTTCAAAAGAAATCGAATATTATTTTTTCAACCGAAAAAAAAAAATGAAATGACTTATCGTCTCGGACTCAGATATCTCTCTGCAGATTCGATTAATCGAGACAAGTAACTCTCCGAATTATTATGCAATTCCATCGGGATATTGGCCAATGTTGTAGCGAAGGAAAAACCGTTAATAATGCGCTCCGCATTTGAAGCGCACCGACGCGACCATGAAACTCTCCACGTCGCTAAACAGCGTGTCACTTACACGACCCGGCGGAAGGATAAACGTGTCCTTCTGGCACGCGTATATAAAGCGATAACGTTGACGAACGGATATAACAGTGCCGGACAATTCGGCCACGTTACGAGACGGTAACGTTGTTATCCGGCGTGGTTACCGGGATGCGGGATTTGGTTAGCATGATTGCGAGTTTAGTGTTGGCCCTGCTGCTGTTAGCTAATACACGCGGCGATGGTGCGTCATCGGCAAGGACAGCGCACACGACCGTCTCTAAGATGAGAATGGCCGATCTGGAGACCTCGGCGAGCGGATACGCGTACAATCAGCATGGGGCTCTTCCGATCTTGTACATGCGGTACACCAATCACGGAAGCGGACGTTACTACCGTGCACCGGCGGCAGTGCATTACATCGTTGGCAGTCCCGCACCTGTTGCGCCCACCGTTTCTGAAACTGCGTCGTCGCACGAATCCGTTCCGCTCGCGTATGCGACTGCGAGGCACGAAATTGCACCGTACGTAACGCGTCAGCCTTACCCGCGCGATGGATTCATTAATTATGGCGTGGGCCAATTAGCGAAATATGCGCAACCACTTGAGCTGCCTCAACTGACTGCCACACGTGCGCCGTACTATGCGCCTGACACATTTAAACCGCTCGAAACGGATAAAAATATCGACAAGAGAAGCGACGACGAGGAGAATGAGGACGATTATGACAGCGATGAGGAGGACGACGGCGATAAAAAAGAGAAAAAAGGGCATGTGCCTGAGAATCGCGAAAAAGCAGTTGATTTTATAGCAACCCATCCTATTCACGGCCTCGACAACTCTCGTTCAGATATCGACGTTTCGTTTGAACACGGTGAAAAGTATTCGGCCGGGCAGAATTCCGCTCATGGAGAAAAGGGTGACAAAGGGTACAACAAACGAGTGGAATTTGACGTGGGTGAACGCGAACAGCATGATAAAAGCAGGCAACAAGGTGGATTTTTGCTTATTTTTTCTACAGACATTGATTTTCTCAGTACGCTTTTAAACATGTATGTTTTTGCATAAAATGTATTTACTTCGGGTGAGACTACTTTTTGCTGAATCTTTCAGAACGTTACGATACCGAAACTGGGCACAAAAACGGACACAGCGACGTAGCTGGAAATTATGGCCGGTACGATGAAACTGAGAATAGTGAGAAGGGTAGTAGTTACGGGCAGACGTCATACCACAAAAAGGGGCAAAAGACCAGTGGCTTTCATAAAGTCTACCACAAGGATGAATATAAAAAGCATACCGATTTCTATGATGAGAGCCACAAGAAAGGTTATTTCGACAAGCACTTCGTTGCTGATGAGCATCATAACGCTGCGGAAGGTGAATTCAAGAAAGGCGGACATCATGAATCCGAGTTTGACGATAGAAATAGTGGGAAGAAAGGATTTTATGACAATGGATATATACAGAATCGCGATCGGGGCTATAATAAAGAAAAAGGTGAAAATTCTTTTCATAATAATTATGAAAATTACGGCTCCAACGAAGGCACGCGTTTAACTAAGAAACACGGGTATGACAAAGTTGATTGATATTGTTGAACATAAATAATTTAAGGAAAATGTAATGTTATCTATTGTTATTTCATATTCATTGTCATTTGTGCTATGCGATAAAAAGATAAAAAGTTATAATCACATTTTTAAGATATTGATTCTTACTACATGTATTGAAAATGATGCTTTATCTATATATATATATAAAACGTTGCTTATAAACTATATCATTACATTATGATTGGAATGATTATGGAAAATGTAATTAAGATAATATTTGAGAAATAACTTTGAGAAATAATGCAATTAATGGCATGGCTATGTGGAACGGTTTTATTAAAATATCTAAAAATTTAACTATACATATAGATCAGAAAATAGTTTTGTTGGATTACAAAACAATTATGTACGTCTTTCAAAATTGCTAGAATATTTAAAAATTCCTGCATAATTATTCTGATAGTCCAACAAAATTATTTTCAGATTTATGTGTATGTGTGTGTATTTAATTGAATTTTTAAATATTTTTTTAGCAAAATTCTTCTGTACTATCATAATATTTTAGTAAAAACGTTCCAGTTCCATCCTAATATTCCTTATACATATGATCATTTATTTCTTGCACTTTTTTTTCTTTAAAATATTAGGAATATCTGGCTAAATAATGATAACCTGTAATCTTTTCTTTTTTAATGTACTCTATAAATATTTTTTTGGGGAACAGAATTATTTTTATTTCAATTTTTTAAACATGTTAAAGTATATATAAGAATTACTTTTAGAGGAATTCTTACAGAAAACAATTTTTATATATTTATTATATATTTTATATATTTTATATATACTTATTATTAACACAAGTATAATTTTTATATATTTATAAAAGAGTAATGAAAATTAATCCGTGACACGAATGACTTATCGAGTGCAATAAAGAATCGGAAAATCATCGTCGAGTTATATATGTAGAATTATGTTATATTTGTAGAAAAAATAGACCAGAGATCAATTCAAATATTTTAATGTAGATAGTTGATATTAAAAATACAACTCCCAGCCAACACCTGATAAAACAAATATAAAACCGTATCAATTGCGCCACTGAATGCGGTAACTGGCCGGTACTATTGTTTTATGGAAATAGCATGTAACGAGCGGCCATATTTTCTTGTGACAGCTGTTACACCGCAGAAGCGTGACTGATGTAGCACAAAACATGAAACTCCACTGAATTATTACGACAGTTACCGATTTCGCGACACACGTTACGGTTGCAGAAATAACTCAAATTTCATTTTACGTCGAGTATACGTCTATAGCTTTAGGGTTTGATTAATATAGGCTATCGCACATTTTTTTGCAGAAAACATATACGCAAAGAAAATTATGACTTAATAAATGCAGGTTGTATTTTGTAGTGAATTGACGTAATGCAATATGAGATAATATATAAACGACTACGTATAATATATCAACTGGAAAAGATTTATTCTGTTCGCCGACATGTATAACAATTAATGCAGCGATGACAATCAATCAACGCAACTCAACGAGTAATAGCAGCTAAACTATAATTCTCCGCATGTCCGTATTAATGCCCTTTCTTGAATCCCCAGTGTTTATGGTCTTCATGGCCACCTTTCTTGCCATGATGATGATGATGATGATGATGCTCATCGTGTCCACCATGACTTTTGTGACCCTTATGATCATGATGATGATGTCCTTTCTCGTGATGACCCTTTTTGCCGTAATGATCTTCGTGATGATGGTGGTCATGATGCCCTTTCTTAAAGTGGCCACCTTTCTTATGTCCGTGTTCATGATGATGGCCACCATGTTCTTCGTGATGACCATGATCATGATGTTCGTCGAAGAATTCCTTATCCTTCTTAAACTCGTCGAGTTTGTGAACGTCGTGATGTCCCTTCGTGCTGTGGCCCTTCTTGAAATGCCCTTTCTCATGGAATCCGTGACCCTTCTCTCCCTTCTCACCCTTGTGGTGTTCGCCATAATAGCCATCGTCATGATGATGATGCTTCTTGTGGCCTCCGTCCTCGTGATAATGTCCAGAATGGCCCTCTTTATCGTGATGTCCCTTTTCTCCTTTTTCGTGATGATGCTCCGACTTGTAGCCTTTGTCACCTTTCCCGCCATGTTCGCCATGATGACCGGAATGATGTTCGCCCCCGTGGCCGCTCTCGTGATGATGATGAGAAGCGGCTACCTGCAGATCGTCGGAATGCGCCCTGCTGATCTCACGTGCAATAGTCACGTAATGAGAGGCGATACATACTGCCAACAGGCAGATCGCCACCAATCTGTTCATCACGCGTGTTGTGTTTGTGTTCTTGTTCGATCCAATATCAATGAGAGATATTTGACTTCGTCGCTGTGATCGGTAGGTATGATTTAGCTAGTCGCCCCGCTCGGATTATATATCGATCGCAGAATAAGATCTCGATATGAGAGTAACCAGAGTTCTTTCTTGGATCTTAGGTCGTTGCGAAAGTTAATGTCTCCTTAACCTGTTTAAATTGTAATGCGGATTTCAGTGAGCCCGCGACAATCGCTCGGGCTATTACATAATATCATTGAAATCGTTGTCGTGCTTACCAAACTACGTTTACAAAGTCTAAATAATGCATTTTTATCGTTTTTTTAGTCGAGCTGTAATACGCTAATTTCCAATAACTTTAATTCAATGGGAGGAAATTTATATGATTAATATATTTGGAGATGAACGTAGAGATGTAGTATAATATAAATGACCGGACATTACCATTGTGTGTTAGTGAGTAGTATAATTTAAAAAAAATAATGCTTCGATCGACACCGAAAATAAATTAAACGGTTATGAATGAAAGACGGTAAATCGTCCTACTGTGCTGCATCTCGTTCCACCGGTCGTCGATCGTTAAACTGGCAGATAACTTTTATTTATTTATCAAAAAATTCTATATTAGCTTTATTATTTTAAACGCATCTAACTCGCTCTCTCTCTCTCCTTCTCTAATGGACTATTATATTTAAATTAATTGGTTTTCGAAGGTTGTAAATTTCCGTTATTTATTTTTAACAAAATGTTCAAAATTAATTGATATAATATTTTTCACGTCATTTAACAAAACGTCTGTTTTTTATTATTATGTTTGAAGCTTTAGTTTTGAAAAAAATATTTCATAAAAATTTTACTGCATATCTGTGAAAGATAATATTTTTTTCAAATATATACATTACATATTCGTATATTACACGCATGTTGCAATTTGCTTAATATTTTTTAACGAGTTTTGATGTATAATTTTAATGTATAAATGATGTAACAATGACGTAATTGCATATCTTTTAATTTTTCCTCTTTTTTTTCTCCTCTTTTTTACTTTTCTACTTCATATTAAATTTATTAAGTAACTTAAGATTGACAATAGTTAGTATATAACTAACAGCGCATTCAAGCAATAATACATAGTACGAACAAATGTTTTACGAAATACAAGTGCTATATTGTGTTTGAACAAGAGCGAAGGAACGAAAGTGATTACGTACAAAGCATTGGTGGAACCGCAGGTATATAAGCTTTGCTTTAAAGATTGTTGAGCAGTCAATTGCACTTGTTGGTTCTACAGAGTTCCAACATGGCTAAATACGTAGGTTCATGTTTGTTTTTGGGATTGGCTGTGATATGCACGGTCATTGCCATATCTTCGGCGCGAGATGTCCGAGATTTAAAAGAAGATTTGGAGATAGCTGGTACTCATCACCATGGTGGCCATCACCATGGTGGCCATCATCATGGTGGCCATCACCATGGTGGCCATCATCACGAGCATGGTGGAGGTCATGAGCATCATTCTCATCATCATGGAGAACACGGTGAAGAGGGTCACAAAGGCCATAAGGGGCATCATCATCACGAAGAGGGAGAACATGGCCATCATGGTAAGGAACATCATGAGGGTCATCATGACGAGCATGGCGGTCATAAGAAAGGTCATCACGACGAACACGACGAGCACGGTCATCATCACGAGCATGAACATGGCCATAAAGAATCGAAGTTTGGTCACGGAAAGGGTCATAAAAAGGGCGAAAAGACTCATGGCTATCATCACAAATCCCATAAAGATGAATTCCACAAGGAACATAAATTCTACGATGATTATCATAAGGGTGGCCATCATGAGAAGCATGGCGATCATCATGAACATCACCATGGCAAGGAAGGTCACCACAAGAAAGGCGGACATCATCATTCTGGTCATCACGAAGATCATCACGGTAAGAAGGGTCACCATGATAAAGGGCATTACGATGAAGATCACCATGGTCATCATGGCAAACATGGTCACGAAGAACACCATCATCACCACGAAGATCACGGAAAGAAGCATGAACATCATGGCGGCAAAAAGCATGGTTATTCGAGCGGCCATGGCGGCCATGACGGCCATCACGGCCATCACGGCCATCACGGTCATCACGGTCATCACGGTCATCACGGCCACCATGGTCATCACGGCCACCACGGTCACCACGGCCACCATCATCATCATTAACGATATAAAACTCGTCAATTTAGTGCGACACAAACAGAATAAATTGTTGCACCATTTGTTTATTGTTCTTTCGTTGATTATTTTTAAGATGTCAAATAATTATGGATTTACTTCGTTATTGAAAAATTAAAATGCCTATACCAACCATAACTGAATGCATTATTTCTCCTAATAACCCCTATATATCCTTAACTGAAATTTTATAATGTTTATCTAAAATATATAATAATATATTTACTATTTCTTATATAAAAACACGCAATATTGTATTTAGTTGTTATCAAATGAAATTGTGCTTTTAATATACAAGCTTCATGAATATAAACTGCATTTTATTATTTTATTTATGTCTATCTACAATCTTTACCTAAATGTCCTACATATTTATTATTATACAATACTTTTATGGATGTTTTTACATTTAAAGATTGAATATTATCTAATGCACATATTAAAAAATTAAAAGTTTATCGAACGTATAACTTTTTCTTTAAATTAATATACGACTAGAACAGGATAAATACACAGATAAGCATAAAATGTTAAGATACTTTAATATTCTGAAAAATATCTTATTAGTGCACGCAATATCTAATCTTAATTGTATCTGGTCTTAACTAATATTATAGAGATATTACATGAATATATTTGTATCAATATTATCTTTCATATCAAATTTAAATTTGAATATTTAATTAAATGTGAATATTTTGAAAGAATTAATGGAATATTAATAATGTAACGTCAAGTTTTTCCGTGCACTGAAAATTAAAACCTATAAAATCGTTAAAACATTTTTTAATAATTTATAGAGATGTATAAAATGATATATGATAACCCATATTCTATTGGCTACAATAGATGTATAAATCTGGATTAAATTATAAGAATAAAATATTCTCTCATAACTGTTTTAATAGACATATTTATTGTAATTTTTTTATATTTAGTTTTAAATTTATACAATAAAAGACAATATTGACACAGTGTAACTTTCTACCGTAGGTTCAGCGAACTATTGAAAATCAATAAAGGAAGTTTAATCAGTGTCACGTAATTCCATTTATATAACTTTAAACAAGTGGTAAATTACAAAATAGAACAGACTTCATATAACTTACCGCAACGGAGGAAATGAAATGGAACTCCCCCTCTCATCTTTTATTTATAAAAATATATACTTTTTCTTACCAAATTTGATGGCTCACTGCACCAGAATCGCAATATAAATAACACCCCACGAATCGCTTCATCATATAGCTTGCATTGCTAGAAAGCGCTTAGACGCTTTATTAAGAAGACTAGTCGCTAAGACGATTATTAATGTGACTAATAGATTGAGTATTACGATACAATTGTTATCATGTTTCCACTACGTCGTGTATTGCCACTAATAACAATTCTTGTAGCAATTTATATTGCCACTAATTGCGTGACCACCGCACGTGAAATTACCAGGAATCACGACGATCTTCAGGTAGCCGCCAGTCATCATGGTCATCATGGCCATCATCATGAACATGGCGGAGGGGAGGAGCATCATTCCGGTCATCATCATGAACATGGCGATCATGGTCACAAGGATTATAAGCACCACCATCATCACGGAAAAGGTGAGAAAGGACATCATGACAAAGAGCACCATCATGGGCATCACGATGAGCACGGAGGACACAAGAAGCATCATCATCACGACGATGGTCATCATCATGAGCATCATCATGGTGAAAAGGGGGAGAAAGGTCATAAGTTTCACGAGAAAGGACACTTTGGCAAAGGCCATAGCACTCACGGCCATCACGAGGTAAAGAAGAAGGATGAGTACAAGAAGGATAAGGAATTCTTCGACGAACATCACGATCATGGTCACCATGACGAACACGGTGGACATCATCACGAACATGGACATAAGAAGGGTGGTCACTTCAAGAAAGGACATCACGACCATCATCATCATGAGGGTCATCATGGTAAGAAAGGTCATCATGAAAAGGGCCATCATCATCACGATCATAAGGGACACAAAGGTCACCACGATCATCACGAGCATCATCACCATCATCATCATCATGGCAAGAAGGGTGGTCACGAAGATCATAAAAAATGGGAATACAAGAAGGGACATTAAAACTTGTTACCACTCAAGAGATACCACCAGCTGCTTTTGAATTGGATCCTGTTACTTTTTCTCATTCCTATTACCTGTATTATCCCTAATATTATACAATAATCCAGTAATATATCTGTGTTAATTGTTAATTGTGTATACGTTGTTGAAATAAAGTAACATATTTAACACATCTTTTTTATATTGCGCGCAATTTCGCGCGTTACACGTGTGATACGCGTATATATAATATCTATAGTTACAAGATTTTACTTCAGCCGAGCAAATAGTTAAAGAAGTTTATGATTATTACGTGAAGTTTAAAAATTGCTGTTACTTACCAGATTTCTTTAATATTCTGTGCTTTCTGTGCAATAATCATCAAATTGCCAGAAACGTACTTTCTTAATTGAATAGGCATACACGAGTTATTGATCGGCAAATTACGAGTACCGTAAATTATCAGCGTGCTTGGGATCTTCGCTTTTAATAAAAATTCCTACGCTCCAGCTATTTATCAAATTCCAATATTAATAAACAGCATTAAATTTGCCGTTGGTTATATAACGCATTATCGGGCAGCGGTAAATAAAACGTATTCCCGCGGTAGTACGTATTAATATTTAGTTCAGTGAACACACTGCCGAGGGTATCCTATATAACTCGTCTAGAACGTACATTTTTAAAATAGAATGTAATTAAAAAGGAACTATAATTGTTATTGTCATATACGCGTGAAAATCGTACATATAAGGTACGCATAAAAAGCATTCTATAATTTTCAATTAATATTCGTTATTCATTAGCGCACGCATTCTCAATCTGCTTTGCAAGATAACGATGCTGGACTACTGCACTTTCCACCGCGTTGCATATGCGTCGTTCGTTTGTAAAAACAGGCGGGGCAAAAACTCACAGGAGCCTACTATCGTATTCATCGCGCCGCGAATTTGATTAACGATCCCACCCTGCAGCAAATGAGATCGCCACTTCCATGGCGTTCGTCCGAATTGAATTCCGGTACGCCGAGCACGGATTAACGAGACTTTATGCACTTCTTTACTGCCACGTACGATGCAGTGAGTGTTCAGGGTTGTGCGAGCCCATTCTCCGCCGGAGATTGCATGCGCTCGGCAACGAATCTACTTGAAATGCTCCGCCCTGTGACAATTCCGGCGGCCGTCGAAAAGGTCTGCTATTGTTTCGCTTGTAATGTGTGTACGTGCGGGTGGTTTAATTAATGTAATTGAAGTGGCTCCGGTGCGGAACGAAAAAGAAAAGGAAAAAAAAAAAGAAGAAAAGCGTGAAACGCATGAGCTCAAAGAAGTACGCACCACCGCGGTGTACTGCGATTTCGCATGCTTTCCTGAAGCCAAAATAATCGCGCCATTTAACCAAATTAATGAAGACTTGGGAACACGTGGCATTTGCATTGCATTCCCACCAATTGTTGCCAGACTAGAAGCTTTTAACGAAAAGAAGAATAATCGTTACCTTTTTGCGGAACAAAATTTACATTATTATGTCGCATGTTTTTTGCCCGTGCGACAAATAGAATAATAAGTTATTATTTTTTAAGAATAAACGCAACAAGAAAACAAGAGTTCTTTAATAAAACGTTGCTGAAAACTGGCTAAATAAACTCTTCCGTACCTTTGATAAAATTTTCACAAAGTTGAAGCAACCCTTCGAATAATAAATGATCTACCTGCTACAGTCGTATAATGAAAATTGCATCATGAGGCTGCGCAAGAAATCCTTTGACGTAAGCTACTAAATTAAATATTTGGATTAAGCTCATCTTGTTGGCGTATTTATTGTATTATGCTAAAAACCGACATAATCAAATATGTTCATAACCAAAGCAAATTACTAGAGATAGGTAAGTGTTTCTAATCTACATATTTTCGTGGAGCACCAAATGAAAGCAATGAAAAGTCGATTAAAAAGTTCTGTTTACTTTCGATTCAATTTGAATCAGTTTTTTTAGTTTACCTTTTTCAACGACATTTTTATTTTCAAAGATACCAGATTGACATTTTTATTTAATAAAAATACTGATTGCGATGGTTATTGGATATTTAGTTTTTATTACTCACAAACAATTAATAGCCAGACTTATAAATGATATATATAGCGTAGATGGATTTAAATAACATATTCTAATATCATCGTTTATTAATCAACGAATAATGAGCGCTGATTATGTATACGCATTGTAGAAGGCACCAGCAATTAAGTAATCATATGTTTTCGACGGCACGCATCGGCTGATCAAATCATATAATAATGTGACAATATAAGACAAATAAATATCATATAATCAAATATATTTATAATCAAAGCATTGCACTACCAGAGATAGTAAATGTTTTAATTTATTTATGTGGAACATCATCAAATAAAAACAATGAAATCTCGATTGAAAAGTTCCGTTTACCTTCGATTCAATTTTAATCAATTTTTTGGTTTATTTTTTTCAACGACATTTTTATTTCGTAAAAATACTGAATATCGAGATATTTAACTAAATAAGTCTATAAAAAGTTAATTGTGCAAAACTAACGTCAATATTGTTCTTTAGGAAAATAATTGACTGTAAAATGATTTAATTTGATCTGTGAAAGAAGTTAATGATATAAAGAACAATTTCAACTAAATTCGAGCATAATTATAGAATATAATATGACTTAATTCTGTTTTTTAATACCATGTAGTATTAATATCATATTATAAAAGCATATTTTCATTTTGATGTTTTACAATGAACAGCATAGTATTATGTTGCATATCATTACATGAGCATGCTGCAACATGTGTAGGCATATGCGGTATTTATCTACAAATTTAACCGTGTCAACTCGCAACGCGCGTTTCTGTGGCCCATTAATATCCGGTAATCAATTCAATCAGCTGGCCAATCGATTAACCTCAATTATTGGTACATTAATGATCTGTGCTATATGTGACATTAAAATTCATACTGCAAAATTACTAATATATATTACTCTTGCCTGACAATAGAGACCAGGCGCTGAAAAATACTTTTATCGTATATACAGTAAATCAATTCATGTCTTCTTGAATCAATCAAACTGTCGTTTTACATCTTAGAAAAAGTCGACAGGCCATATATCACTTTCAAGACGAATATTCAATGAAATTTAATTTTTTAATCAAATTGATGATAATGATACGCAACAATAACGCGATAATATGCCATTTTTCCGTTATTTCTTCGAGCAACTATAACGTGCGGGTAAAAATTCTATTCACACGATTTGAGAACAATGCCGTGTTCTTCCACGCGCAATTGTTATCTTTGTCAATAAGCGAAGGCGCAAGGCGAGAAGAAATGGCAAAATTACTTTAGTTTGCCGATGGGAAGTGATAAAAGGACGCTGAGAAAAACGGCGGCAATAAATCGTAAGGAATCGATAAGGCGTAATATCACGTTGCCGTCTTGACTGTAATGTAGCTGCTGGGACAAATATGGGCTGGGAGGGGAGGAAAAGAAGAAACTTATTTGTTCCATTAAGACTTAAAGAAGAAAGAAAAGTCAAGGAGTCGGAATGAAACGATTTTTTTTTTTGCGCGTGTTAGTTATTCGCAGGTTTATTCTACTTGTATATAAAGAATGGTACAAAATACAACAATCTCGCGACTTGGTCGCGTGACTTGGTCCGGAGCAGGTACATAAGCCGTAGAACGAGTAATCGCTTTTTGATACGTGTTTGAACGTACAACTCTAATGCCCCTTCTTGTAGCCATACTTCTTTCCGGAATGATGATCGCCTTTCTTGCCATATCCATCGTGATGGGAATGGTGCTCCTCGTGGCCGTGTTTACCATGATGACCTTTATGTTCCTCGTCGTGATGACCTTTGTCGTGATGGCCCTTCTTGCCATGGTGATCTTCATGATAACCGGAATGATGATGTCCGCCCTTCTTATGCTCGCCTTCCTTTTTCTCATGATGACCGTGGAAATCGCCGTGCTTCTCGTGATGCCCACCCTTATGATAATCATCGTAAAACTTATGTTCCTTATGGAACTCATCCTTATGGAATTTGTTGTGATAACCTTTCGTTTTATGGCCCTTCTTGTGACCCTTCTTCTCACCGAACTTTCCACCTTTGTGACCCTTCTCGCCTTCGTGATGCTCACCATATTTTTCGTGCTCGTCATGATGACCCTTCTTCTTGCCTCCGTGTTCCTCGTGATGACCGGCGTGATGCTCCTCATCGTGCTTACCACTGTCACCTTTGTCATGATGATGATGGCTCTTGTACCCCTTGTCACTTTTTCCACCGTGATCCTCGTGATGACGAGATTCATGTTTGTGACCACCTCCAGACTCGTGATGATGACCCTTATGCTTGCTCGCTGCTGTCTCGAGATCGGTTTCGTCTTCTAATTTTGCAATCGAGGACGATTCTGCGGCGGGCTCTAAATGACCTACATGACGGTCGTCGTTCTCTTGTACGTTGCGTCGACTGATGCGCGATTTCGCATTGGCCAAATCTCGGGCATGACACGTCGTGTGCAATGTGAGTGAACATATTGCAATGAATGACAGAAATAACATTGTACCTCGCACCATCTCGATCGCACCACTCGGTTTCGATCAAACTGATGGCCGATGTTACTACGGTTGACACTTAAATATCGATGGTCCAGCTACTTCCGTCACGGCGCGGCCGTATGTTTCCGCCGAGTCCACTTTCATCCGCACGACCGCAAGTATTCCTAAATTTCGTTCCAATCTCCGTTGATCTCCGGTGGGGAGGCACACGGTTTCACACTTTCTCGCATCGCCGCGCATCGCGTTTATTCTACTAGAATATTCCGTCGTGCTGTCTCGCAGCGTTCAATCGGATGTTAAAATGTTATTCGAGTCGAGCTGGATCTCATTTCTCGCTTGCGAAGTGACATAACAAATTGACTCGTTAACGTTTCTCTGAGTAATATTTACAAAATTATGAGTTTCCAGCGATTGTTCCGGACAACAATGTAAATTTTTATTTGATTAATCGTATCTCGATACACTGCGTGAACGCATTGTTTCCGCAAAAAGTTGTATCCGGCGTCAGGAAGAACTTTCCATTA